AATAGGCGAAGGCCAACTGCCCTTTTACAGTTTCTCTCCTTTTGACGGGCTCAGGAGACAACCCTTACAGATCCTTTCTCTCCTCTCTTTACAACTCAAGACTTGAAGAACAGAAAAGAGGAGAACTTTTGAACTTTACACAAATTTGAGCTCTTAGAGTCACTGAAAAGATCAAGAATTCGGTGTGGATCAGTATCTTTTCAGTGCTGAATGGGTGGGGTATTTATAGGCCCCAACCCAATTCAAATTTGGAGCTCAAAACGATCAAATCCCGGAATTCCGGGATCAGGCGGTTGCACCTCTTGACTGGAGAGGTTGCACCGCCTGGCAGAGCTCGAAGACTGAGCCCAAGCGGTGCCACCTCTTGACTGAGGCGGTTGCACCTCTCTGCCAGAGCTCGAAGACCGAGCTCAAGCGGTGCCACCTCTCTGTCAGGGAGGTTGCACCGCCCAGTCTTGCTCGAAGACTGAGCTCAAGCGGTGCCACCTCTCTGTTAGGGAGGTTGCACCGCCCAGTCTAGCTCGAAGACTGAGCTCAGGCGGTGCCTCCTCCTGGCTGGGGAGGTTGCACCACCCAGTCTCGCTGGGAGGCTTAGCCCAGGTGGTGCCACCTCCTGGCCTAGGCGGTTGCACCTCCTAGTGCAATCAGGGTCCGAATGGTTAGCTCCATTCGGCCCAATTTCAGTCTTTCAGGGGCCCAATTGCCCCAAGATTAAGCTAATGGGATCACCTCCCATTTTCCAACTTAATCAACGTGCTAACTATGATTAGATCTAAGACAATTTCTGCAGCTTTGCTTCGGTGCGTCAATCGCTTCTTCCGGCGAACTTCCGGCGAACTTCCGTCGATCATCCGATGAACCCTCGGTGATGCTCCTGCGGACTTCCGGCAAACTCCTGGACTTTGCGACGATCCACTTGGCGAGTTCCGATGAGCTTCGCTTGGCAAGCTTCTGGACTTCTCGGATCTGTTCTCGCAGAACCTCGGACGACCGTCCGAACTTCCGTCGAACTCTCGAACTCCCAACGTGATCATGAACTTGACTCCGGCGCAACTCCTGCTGCTTGTCTAACTTTCATCGTAGTTAATCCTGCACACACAAAATAAAAACTTCGATCGAGACAATTAATCCTAAGCAATTAACCAAGTTGTCCGGCATGTCATTGGTCCTTCGACGCTTCGTCCGATTCTTCGGCGCATCGTCCTTTCCTGCAGCCTATTGCCCAATCGGCCAGTTGACTCCGCAACTCCGATATCCTTGGCACAATACCCACTCTTCTTGGCCTGATGCCTGAGTCCATGACCCGAAGCCTTCTGTCGATACGTCAACCGATCCACCGGCCCGACGTCCAATCTTCTGACATGTTCCTCCGGCACAACATGATGTTCCTGCTTTAATTGTCTCATCCTAATCGATGCACCCTGCGTCACTCAAAACGCAGATTAAATCATAAACATATATCAAGGAGTTTCATCATCAAAATACGAGATTCAACAATTACAACCTTTTGAGAAGCTAGAAGTTGAGAAAAGCTTTAGGAAAAGTCTTGTTTTCAATAGCTTGAGTGTTCACCTCCTTTCTTTTTCTTGAAATCTTTGTAAAAGGGGTGAACCACTTGTAAGAGGTTGTAAGAGGGGTGTAAGAAGGAGGTTGATCTTCGCCTAGTAAAGGAAGATCGTTAGTGGATGCTGGTGGCCTCGACGGAAGAGGAATCGAAGGAGTGGATGTAGGTCACGATTGACCGAACCACTATAAACTACCGTCTTCTCTGGTTTGCATTTACTTCCTGCTATTACCTTACTGCAAACCCCTTCAATAGCTTACTGCCTTCAAGTTAAAACGCAATTGAAACGATTTCAAATGAAACGTTGCTTTTATAGTATGAAGTTTCCAAAAGTGTTTAAATCGTCGAAAGTTTATCATACTTTACCGTTGCACTAATTCACCCCCCCCCCCCCCGTCTTAGTGCCGCTCCGGTCCTAACACCATTATCTGATCGAATACACTTTAGTTTTCTGCCAGTTTCTCTTTCAACACTGACATGAAACTCTTTGAAAACATCGAGTACCTGGTCTTTAGATTTCAAAGCAAAAGCCCACACTTTTCTGGAATGGTCATCAATAAAAGTAACAAAATAAAGAGTACCACCAAGAGTTCTAGTTTGCATAGTACATACATCAGTATGAACTAAATCAATAACATCTGATCTTCTAGACGATGGATATGTCTTAAATGCAACTCTATGTGTTTTTCCAACTAAGCAATGATCACAAGATTTAAGAGATGTACCTTGCAACTCTGGTAAGAACTGATTTCTAGCAAGAGTTTGAAGTCCCTTCTCGCTGATATGTCTAAGCCTCTTATGCCAAAAATCTATACTTTCACCTTTTTGAATTGCATTAATCTCTCCTTTGTGTAGCTTAGCTTCCATGACATAAAAAGAGTTAATCTTCTTTCATTTTGCCACAATTAGAGAACCTTTAGTGAATTTCCATTTGCTTTCACTAAAATAATGTGCAAAGCCCTCATCATCAAGTTTCCTTGTAGATATCAAGTTAATACGATTATCTGGGACATGCCTTACATCTTTGAGTATCAATTTGCTCCCAATACTAGTCTCCAAGCAAATATCTCCAATACCCACAATCTTAGATGTACCACTGTTTCCCATTCTGACATTACCAAATTCACCAGCAGTGTAAGATCTAAAGAAATCACCATGAGAAGTAGCATGAAATGAAGCACCATAGTCAATTACCCAATTACTGTCTTGAGCTACAAGACTAACATAACCTTCATCACAGACAATAGTGATATTACCTTCAACAGCAACTGTATTGGTCTTTTTCTTATTTTTCTTCATTTCATTATGTTCTCGCTTCTAAAACTTATACTCTTTCTTCATGTGACCTGGCCTGTTACAGTGAAAACATTTGATATCTCTTCTAGACTTGGATCTTCCTCTATATCCATGTGGGTTTCTGCTATGACTTCTTCCACGTTTTTCTTGTTTTTCAGTAACAAATACACCAGAAGAAGATTCACCCTGTTCTTTTCTTCTAGCATCTTCATTTAGCAAACTGTCTTTAACCATATCTATAGTTAGAGTCCCCTCTGGCGTGGAGTTACAAATAGTCACCACATATGTTTCCCAACTTTCTGGTAAAGAGTTGAGAAGTAATAATCCCTGCATCTCATCATCTATATTCATTTTCATAGCAACCAACTTGTTTGCAAGACTCTGAAATAGGCTTATGTGCTCAACAATGTTACCACCATCTTTATACTTCAAATTTACAAGCCTTCTGATGAGAGAAATTATATTTCCCACTATCTTTTTCGCAAAGAGGTTTTCTAACCTTTGCCAAACAATATCAGCTTTGGTTTCATCTGAAATATGCTTATGCAAGTTTATATCCATCCATCTTCTAATATAGGCAATAGCTTTTCTATGTTGAACTTCTCATTCTTCATCGTCCATAATAGAAGGTTTATCTTTAACCTTGATAGGCTTATATAAATCTTTGCAATAGAGCAAATCTTCCATCAGACGCCTCCAAGTGGAATAATTTGATGAGTTCAATTTAATCATACCATCAGACTCCATTTCAATCACACAAGAAAACTAGCACCAAACAACCTATTGCTCTGATACCACTTGTTGGGAAAAACCTTGTTAAAGCGGAATATTCTTTTCCCTCTTTGTGTATCAAAATGGGTTCCTCATCAAAATACCAACTTGATATCCAAATGAAAATATCAATTAGCACAGCATAAACAATAGATCAAAAATCAACCACACATTGAGACCAAATATTTTTAACGTGGAAAACCCAATGTGGGAAAACCACGGGACCGTAGTCCACCTCAAACTTTCACTATCAATAATAATGATAACAGGTTTACAGTAGGTCTTCTCTAGAATAACTAGAGGATCAGAATAACATCAAAACATAGATCTTGGCTCTAGCATATAGATGGATCTCCTCAAAAGAAAATTTTAGGTCTCACAGAATATATATCACAGGAAAGTACCTTAGAGAGGGTAAACTGCAGATCAACACCGTTAGGATTGTAGAGTTTACTGCAAGGATTCTCCACATAAAATTTGGGCCAAAACTGATAACGTTTGGCCACCGATCGTCAAACAGAATAACCTTACTTTCTCTCTCCTCTTTTCTCTGCACGTCGCCGCACACGTTCACTCACCCACGCACTGCCATCACCCAATTTTGCCCTTTCTCTCTTGATGCCATCACCCAATTTTGCCCTTTCTCTCTTGATTTCTTTGATTTAGGCTCATAACCCAAATTGACCCAACATAAACCCCTTAAACAAGGGGTTTGGTTGGTTGGGTAAACCCCATGAAGGTATTCTGATCTGATAATTGCAGTAATTGACAAGGTAAGTTCTCAGCACAAATGGATGAAACTGGTCGAGGTGTAACGAGTTATAACCCTTTGATTCAATGTAACTGAGTGTTCAATGCTGCCCACTTGTGCTTATGTACGTGAATCAATTTATTGGTTCCTGATCCTTCTTCTTCATGTGTCCCACCAATTATCCACTACAGTATCCAAGAATGTACAGCCTGCAAAGGACAAAGTTTACATACCACCACACAACAAGAAGCAGATAAGATAATTTTCCGAGGAAAAAGGAGAGGGCATTGGCCCACCAGAGACAAAGACGATACACAACAAATACTATCAATTTATTCAAAGAAACATAAGACTATCAAACATTAGTAACAACACAGAGGGACAACCTGCTTATATTAAAACAATAGCATCCTAAGGATCTTGTGCTGCTGCAATGAAGCTAGGTAGATCCCCTCAGCCTGCAGTAGTAACGTACACAGCAAGAAGCGATGGGAAAATGGTCAACCTATTAAGAACACAAATGAAGTGCTGATCTTTCTCTCATTGCTCTTCTTTGATACCCACTGGGGATTTTATGATTCGTTTCCTCCCTCTATAGCACATACTAAGTCCCAGAGTGAGCAAAAACAACAAGAACAATTTGCTGCTTAAGAGAATCCTGTGCCAGTGGCTGTTGAAGTGGTAGTGGTGGATGGATTCACGTCAAAATGATCACCAAATATACGCTTGCGGAAGTCAGAGACCATCAGCGGAAGACCTTGGCGGAGAGGGATCTTGGGCTCCCAGCCAAGCAGTTCCTTGGCCTTGGTGATGTCAGGCTTGCGCTTGTGGGGGTCGTCCTCGGTGTTGGGACGGAACTCAATTTTCGCATTGGGATCGATGGTTTCCTGCACCACATTTGCAAGCTCCAGCATCGTAAACTCTCCAGGGTTGCCCAAGTTGAATGGGCCAACATGTTCACCTTCCATCAGCCTCATCAGCCCCTCCACCTGTATTTTAGCCCTGAATGCTTAGAGAATATCACACGAGATTCTCATACATAAAATCAGCAGAATATCTACTTTCCCTTCTCAAGCATGGTACTACCACTTTTAAGAATACTACTGTTGTTGAAACTGTAATGATCTCAGAAATGCTTATTGTCCATTTTCTTGTCTTATGGAGAACTACAGTGAAGGCACCATGATGAATTCTACAGAAATTATATGTGAATTACCCAATGTCATATCAAGTGAAACATCACTCCCAAGATTCAAACATGGGGAACCCTTCTAGCAAGGGCAAAGAGGCCACTGACAGCAAAGCTATTACTATCTCAGTGATGCCGAGATGTTCAAGCATGATTTATCTAATTGATGCTAGAATAGCTAAAAGACCATGTTTTGAAAAGGTGAGCCCATTATGGAGCAAAGGACGAGCATGTGCAGCCTAGACAATAAAGCTCACGTTGTCTGGACATAGTAGGTTGATTTTTCATTTAAATGTGTTGTTTTTAAATGTCAAAGTGTCCTTCGGACCCACACTACCTCAACAACTTAAGAGCTTAGCTGGTCCAGTTGGGGCAAGTATGTAACAGAACTAATAAGACTTCTGCTGTGTCTGGCATTGCAACACAAAAGTTAAATTAATATACATAAAACATAGGCATATCATTTCAGCTTTGGTAGAGAACATGGTAGAAGGCCGTACCAGATCAGATACATATTGGAAGCTCCTTGTCTGCTTTCCATCCCCATAAACCGTTAATGGCTCCTTCCTCAAGGCCTAAATCATAACATCAAATTTCAGAAAGCACTATTGCGTTCACTAGTCCATGCCATCTCCCCTTATTTATTAAAACAAATCTCCATGTCTTGCAACAAGGTACTGATATCAAAACTAAATACAAATATTAAAGATATAAGCCCAGTTGTATCTGATCTGATCTGATATCAAAACTAAATACAAACTAAATACAAATCACCTGAGCAACAAAATTGCTGACAACCCGGCCATCATCAATGCACATACGAGGCCCGTAAGTGTTAAAGATCCGAGCAATCCTCACCTGCATCAAAGAAGTTTATCATATTATTATACCGAAAACGCAAATCAAGAAGATTAATCTAAGCAATATGGATTAGTTACAAGTTGACTGACCTCGACTTGGGCACCACGGTGGTAGTCCATTGTCAGTGTCTCGGCGGTGCGCTTGCCTTCATCGTAGCAGCTCCTAACACCTGTGGTCCCCATTGTCCCACCCAAAACCCAAACAAGATTCCAACTGCTTGTTAGATACTTCTTTAGATTGTACACAACACCATGGCATCAAACTAATGCAATGTACACTATATACCACATGTTTAATTTGTTTTAGATCTAGGAACTGGAATGGGTCCACTTTTTTTTGGTAAGTAAAAGTAAATTGATTATGTGTAAAGATTCTACAAATAGCTTTATCTATACAAGTCATAGACAAAGCCAATTAACTCATAGAGTGCGAATGCGATAGTTATGACTACACATGCTGTAGACTATAACTACCTGTGGGTACATTATTTGACATCATTCCCAAAATTTATAGCTAATAGCAAAATTAAATTTGATAAAAATATCTTTTTCTCTTCGGGTGAAGTGCTCGATTTTGAGATCATGCTCCATACAGGATCTTGAGTCTCTAATAATCTCTTTCAAGAGCTGAGCATTGTTTGTGTGTTGACATT